GGCGGGAGTGCTGCCGCACTCCCAAGCGGTGCACTGTAGCAGTGCGCCACCGGGCCGGCCCCTTACTGACTCTTCCTGTCTAATTCAATTTATGATACTAATACAAGCTCAAAGTCAATGTATTTTCTGTTTATTTTTTCTTTTATCTATTTATGTTAAGAATAGGGCCGGCCCGGTGGCGCCCTGCTACGGTGCACCGCTTGGGAGCGCAGCGGCGCTCCCACCGAGGGTTCGGATCCCACATACAGACCGGTTCCCGCTCACTGGCTGAGCGAGGGGCGGGCACAGCACCGAGGGTTGCGATCCCGTTGCCGGTCCCGGTCCGGTACGGGCGCGACACTGAGGGTTGCAGTCCGTTGCCGGACATGAAGAAAGACAAAAAGGAAAAAAAAAAAATAAGAATAATAGTGGCCTATTCTGAATTATGGTTTTGTGTGTGTGTGTGTAAATTGTCTAAGTTGGGCGATAAAGGAAATTATGTCTCAATATAAAATTTCATAAGAATAGAAATCATGGCTTGTTGAATTCCGAAATTAAACTGGGAGGCCCTCAGCCTTCTCTGAGAGAGCTTCTGATGTATCTGATATCTGTTGGCTTCCTGTTAATTTGTTTTTTTAAAGGAAATACAGTTAGAATGTTAAGTTTTCTGTATTAGTTTTCTTTTGTTGTGTAAGAAGTTTCATGGCTTAAAACAGCATGCATTTATTAGCTTGCACTTCTTTGTCCAGCACAGTATGACTGGCTTCTCTGCTCATCGTATCATAAGGTTGAAGTCAAGGTGTCAGCCAGACTGAGTTCTTGACTAGAGACTCTGGGGGAAGTCCACTTCCAGATTTATTGAGGTTGTTGGCAGAATTTAGTTCCTTGTGGCTGTAAAAGTGAGGTCTCTGTTTTCTTGCTGGCTTCCTTCTTAGGCTTTGAATCTTTCTGACTTCCTTTTCTATTATTTGCCAGAAAAAACTCTCTGGTTTTAAAGGGCTGCCTGGATAACTGCCCTATTTTAAGGTCTGCTGTACTGTATAATATAACCTAATTGCGAGAATAAAATCTATTATATTCACAGTTACGCAGGGTGCACCAGGGAAAGGGAAATCTCAGGGGATATTTTAAAAATCTTCCCACCACAACTACTCATCATGTTTTTTGCTATTGTTGATTTTGATTTTTTTTTCAAGGTTACAGAAGAGAATGGTGAACAAATGCCTTGTTACTTTGTCATGGTAAGCCTACAAGAAGTTGGAGGAGTTGAAACTAAGAACTGGACAGTCCCAAGAAGGCTCAGTGAGTTTCAGAATTTACACCGGAAACTTAGTGAGGTATGAATACTCATGAACACAAGATTCTAAAATTACTGAGCAAGAAGAGATTCAAGAGCTCATTTTAATTTTTATATATAAGGAAACTGATTAATCTTTCTCCTTTGCTGTTGATACTGGCAAAGTGGCATTTTCAGCCTGACATTTGGAAGTTTACTCACAGATCAAACCATCTAGTCTAGTCTAAATCCTTCAAGACAGAAAATTTTCTGATTTTTCATTCTAAATTGCCATAGAACCCCAGAGCTGGAAGAGACCTAGGGATCATCTAGGGACAGTGGTGACTAATTAATGGGTAGTGAAACCAATTATGAGTTGCAGCAATAGAAAGAGAATAGAATATATTGGATTTTGTCACATACACCATGGGAGACAGCAAAGTGTAGTGGTTGCAAGCACAGCCTCTAGAGCCAGACTGCTTGACTTTGAATCCTAGCTCTACCATTTACTGATGTATGACCTGGGATATTTCACTCAATCTCTCTGTGCTTCTTTTTCCTCATCAGTGAAAAATGAATATTAATAGTACCTACCTCACCTACCTGATGGGGTTGTTGGGAGAATTAGGGGAATAGATGTATACCAAGCATTTAGAAGAACGTGTGGCATGTAGTAAACATTAAGGTGGTTTTTGTTTCTATTACTATTATTAATAGCAGTACTAGTATTAGTAATAGAGCATTGTCTCATAGAACTTTTAGTTTTTTGTATACATATATTGTATATAGAAGTATTATGGGTTGCAGTGTAGGATGCATTTCCTATTGTTGGTTTTAGTTAAAAATGTTCAAAAGCTATTAATCTAGGTCAATTCTTTTATTTGATAGATGAAGGAAACTGATCCCAGGGCTTCACTGACTCGTCGTAGGATGTGTACATAGTAGCCAAATCAGGATTAGAATCTAGGTTGTCTAACTTTCAGTTTATTATTATTCCCATTTTTCCTCAAGAATTGCATCTTCTCTAACTTTCCTTCTATTGAAGGTAATTGCCCTTTTCCCTAGCAAGGAGAAGTTCTTCAATCATTTCTACTCTAATTTAGGCTTGTTTTTCTCTTGCTCAGAATGAACCAATACTGGTAAAATCTATGGTCACCTCTGAGACTCCTCTTTTGCAAATGAGATATGTCTATTTCCTTTACCCTTGTTTTTTAGGGTGATTTTTTTTTTCCTTTTTGTCTTTTTTCGTGTCCGGCAACGGACCGCAACCCTCAGTGTCGCGCCCGTACCGGACTGGGACTAGCAACGGGATCGCAACGCTCGGTGCTGCGCCCGCCCCTCGCTCAGCCAGTGAGCGGGAACTGGTCTGTATGTG